AGCTACATTGACTGATCAAACATGCTAATTACTGGACGGTCAATGACTGAATAAATATCACCAGTAATCTTAGCAACTCTCCAGAATAAAGGGGGACAACTTCTCTGTTCATATTCAGATACTGAAATGAAATTTTATGTTTGCATCGTTGCGAATTACTATGTACTACGCTTGGATGGTAAACCAGCCTCCAGCCTCCGGTAACTGGATATATACAAAAAATAGTCAAACTTCACCTCTTCCATTGCCAACAAATCTATGCCAGTATATGTAAACTTAACGGACAATGTATCTTGCATATATATTTACACAAATTCCTATCATTTTATTGTCAAAATAGATGGGCGCGGCAACGCGCGCCACCCATGATCTAGTGCCCATCGTGACAGTGCGGCGCGCTCGGCTGTGGCTCGAATCCATCGAAGATTAAGTCTCCGCGGATGTCGGCCGTGAAGTTCAAGCTTCCAAATCTGATCTGATGGTCAGGGGCGTAGCTTTCAATCTGCTCTAGATGGCCAAGCAAATTGGCCCGCAGTGCAAAGCCGCCGAATACGAAGATCTGTCCAGGGAGAAAAGTCTCACCCTGGACCGCGTTGTTGTTGATGATCGAAGGAGCCATCGGGCCTATAGGTGACGACACAGAGGAACTCTCAATGAAAGCACCAATGTCGGTGTCAAAACCGGCGGATCTCGGGTAGGGGGTCCCGAATTGTGCGTCTAGGCGGATGGTAACAGGAGACAAGGGACACGATGTTTTTACCCAGGTTCGAGCCCTCTCGATGGAGGTAAAACCCTACTCCTGCTTGATTGATATTGATGATATGGGTAGTACAAGAGTAGATCTACCACGAGATCAAGGAGGCTAAACCCTAGAAGCTAGCCTATGGTATGATTGTTGTTCGTCCTATGGACTAAAACCCTCCGGTTTCTATAGACATCGGAGAGGGCTAGGGTTACACAGAGTCGGTTACAATGGTAGGAGATCTACATATCCGTATTGCCAAGCTTGCCTTCCACGCCAAGGAAAGTCCCATCCGGACACGGGACGAAGTCTTCAATCTTGTATCTTCATAGTCTTGGAGTCCGGCCAATGATGATAGTTCGGCTATCCGGACACCCCCTAGTCCAGGACTCCCTCAGTCGGGATCTCCTGTAAAACCCCACCTTTCCTCCTGTTCGGAGCAGTAACATGTGATGATTGCTAGGTGTATAGGCTAATAACAAGTTGGACTCCCAAATGCAGGAGTTATTAGACACCAGCAAGATTCTTTTCTTGGTCAGAAACCAAGATATCAATTCGTGGATGTACTTGATAAACTTATGTAACACAAATAAAATTTCACTTGTCCTTGATAATACTAGCAAGGGTGTCAACCTACTTGGCCTTGCTAGTTGTGCAAGACAATTAAAACATAATGTGGTTGATAATACTTTTATTTTTGGAATAAAATATAATTAAAAAATTAATGTGTACGTAGAAGTTGTTGCAGGTGATTGTTAAAGATGTGTCGGAATTCATAGGCCCACTAAGTGTATCTCTCCAAAACAATACGACAACTAACATAGTCATGTGAATAAGTGAATGATGAAATATCTGATGCTCATGCCAAATTATATGTGATGTGTTGATGTTATGTAGGTAGTACATCCACAATTCTATAGACCGAGAGCCTCCCTGCGTCTATAGCCAATAATCCCCTAGAAGGTCGAGACCAACCCTATACCTATCAAGCGTTAAGTGAACATAGATAAGTGGCTTAAGCAAGATGACATATTGTTGCTTGCATGACTCATTATAGTCCTCATACAAACATTTATCCTCACTAGTAGTAATACAATGCAAGACTTTTCCATTTTCTGTCACTGTGGTAGTTTACTTGTAAGATTAAACCTAACTATCAGACACCCTTCCACTAGTGATTACCTACCTAAACTTGCCCATTGTAGACAGGCAATCAGAGAAAATTATGCATCCGAACGTAAAAAAAAACAATTCATCACATGACGTGATAGTAATATGAGCTCCTCTTGCCATTTTTCTAAGGTTATACTAGTAACTTGCTTGTGGTCAAATTGAACAACTGTAACATAAAAGGAGAGGAGGATTCTTAGTAACATTGTTATTTTGTCAAGATAACATATGTAAGTTGTTTAGTCAAGAAACTGATGGTAGGTTATAAAATAGCCACCCCACAATTGGGTTCTTGTTATATCATAAGTGGAGTTAATTTTCTTGATGATGATGATGATGATGTTGTTGGATAGTTCACTTGGATGGGGAAACTTGTAGTACTCCCTCCGTCCAGGTGTGTAAGTCATCTTAGATTGTTCACCGCGACCAAAACGGAGGTGAAAACGAGATAACTTAATTTTTATTTGCTAATTAATAACATTGCATGCAATAAAGTAACCAATGCATGTCATGTTTGGTAGTCTCAAGCAGGGCCGGCCCTGGGGCATGGGCGACGGGGCGACGGCCCAGGGCCCTGGCGAGGGGGGGGGCATGATGGAGTATATACATATACTATAACCCAGCAAAAAGCAAAAAAAAAAATTACAAAAGAATTAAACAAAAGTAATAGGATGGGCTAGGTCGCTAGGAAGCCCAGATATAGCTAGCTAGCTAGCGAATAGCGACCGCTGATGGATACGCCGTGACTCACGCTCGTTTTTACCTTTCCTCGTCGCCCTCGCACGCCCGTCGTCGTCGGTCTTCTCGCTCGTCGCTCGGCGCCTTGCCCCTTGGCCCTTGCCGCGTCGCCGTCGCCTCGCCGGCTCGCCGTTGCCGCCACACAGCAGTCCGACAGGCAGGCGGCAGCCCGGCCATCCGGCACCGCGGCAATACGGCAATACGTATACGAGTACGCATCCAACTGGAAGTCAACAACAGGCCTGGTCAACAAGTACGCATCCATGTTTCCTGTCCATCCCCAAACCTGAATTTGACAATCTCACTAATCACTATCTTAGTAGTTTATTTATTCTTTATTTAGTATGTATGTATTCTAATCCAATCTATCAAAATTTTGTCATTCTATATAACATGTTTAGGGTTCCAATCATCCGATCTATAAATTCCTAATTCTTTGTATGCTCTTTTGATCTTTTCTTCATGATTTTAGGACATTAGCCTGCCATGTTACTTAAGAAGAAGCAATTGTCGGGCTATGTGCTGTATTGAGAAGGATATCTTGGACAATGTTGATCTTGATTGTGCCCTTAATGACTTCGCATCAAGAAATGGCCGAAGAAACTTTTTTTGAAGCACTGAATTATTATTGTTGTCGATGGACTCAGTCTAATTTCGTTCTTATTTGAGGTAATCATGTCATGTTAGTTTCATTTTGCGATCTTTTTAGTACCATTGTTTTTTATGGAGTCGGTTCAAATTTGGTTATTATTGTTCTCGATGGAGTCATTTGAATTATTATAGTCATATTTTAAACTAAAGATGTGTGATTGAAAGTTACTTTTAATAAGTTATATATATAACATACACATACATATATATTGTCTTAGGACTTACGACGTAGGGCCCATGTGGTCGAGTTCGCCTTGGGCCTCCCGAAACACAGGGCCGGCCCTGGTCTCAAGTCATTGAAAGCATGCACGTCCCACATCTCTTGTTGATTGATATGTCAAGAAACAAGAAACAAGGTGGGAATTAATATACCCACCTAAATGTTCTGGGATTATTTGATTTTCATAAGGTGACTTATACACCTAGACTGAGGGAGTAGTACAACATTCTTCCTCTGCTTGTATCGATCTCCACTTCTCAAGGGATTGCCCCTCGTACTTGGAGCTGAATTATTTGCCTGCTCGCTTTCACATATTTTGGTTCCTTGCCAGCAGCAAACCTCCGGCACATGGCATCTTGGGGCGAGACTTGAGTTATTTTTCCTGTACCTGAATCCATTACTACCTTCTTCTTCAGGTAATGTAGTGCAGAGTTTTGTCTCAGAAATGAACTACGTGTTCCCTAGGAGTGTGAGTGCAGATAGATTACAGATTCCAGCCATGGCTGGCTGGTTTTTGCTCCTTGGATGTGCCCTACTCGCCTACTCCTACGTAGTATTGCACTTGAGCTCTCAATTTCTGTTAATGCGTTGAGATGGCGATGAGACTGTTGGGGTCGTTGCCGGTGTGATCCAAGTATACCTGGGCATATCTCAGGCTGGGCCAAAAAAAAAAGGCTGGTACTAAAATCCCAGGCCTGTGCCCGGCCCAGCCCGACTATCAGGCCTACAAAATTGGGCCCGAGCCCGAGAAAGCCCGACACAGCCCGATCAGCCTGGCCCGACTAACTAAAATCGCATTTTCTGCAAGCCCGAGCCCGGCCCGACCTGCCCGTCCGGCTCAGTTTTCAGAACTCAGGTCAAGACACACCGCGCGTGGACTTGTCTGTAACAGAGTTCAGGCCAAGGCAGAGCACGTGAAACATGACCCACGCAACGTTGTGTAGGCAGGAGCTGCAAGCCGGCCGGGCACCTGTTGGACCGTCGTACCGCGGCGATGCGTAGGTGAGCTCTGAATTGCCGGAGCCGACGCCCTCACACCACCGTACCGTCCTTCTGCTGTGACAGTACACATATACCGGAGATGCTCGTAGGGATGAGATGTGTGCGCGTGTGTTCATAGGAACAAGTGTATGTGCATGTACATACGAGTCTCTGCGACCGAACTGTGTTAAAACTTAAAACAAGCAGCATTTCAAGTCCATTATTACAAGTTTTTAAAATTTCAATTGTAGCAACAAAACACGATATATTCAGGCAAGAAATTCGTCTACAACGCCCTCAAGGCCTTGAGGTGGACTACAAGAACATCGCTGTGCTCGCCCCCATGCTCGCTCACTTCTTTTACATTCTTCCTCGCGAGGAGCTCAAGCCAATGGCCATGGCGGCGGAGGGTCTGGCCCTCGGGCAAGAAGAAAAGCAACGTTCGACTACACGGATCACAAATTGAACAAGTACCTGGTGCATGCATGCAGGCATACTTCAAACGACTGTGTCCCCCAGAGTGAAGAAATCAGAAGGCAACACAACAGGGTGGTTGATCCATGGAATGGAGAGAGATCTGTACGGCAGAAGACGCATCTTACTTGTGCTGCACCCGATGTGAATGCCAACAAGGTAGCCATGCCTGTCGTTGAGCCTAGGCAGCAGCATGTAAAGTATGCCACCGTCGCGCTCTTGCCTCCAGACGGGAAACCTGGGTTCGGTCCTCGGCAGCCCCTTCTTCCGGAACGCATACAGCCGCCAGATGCTTTGCATTTTGAACTCCCTGAGTTTTTGCCACTTCTTAGTCTTCTTCTTGGACATGAGCTGTGTGAGGTCCAGAGTCCAAACCTTCACATTGGTGTGCCTGACACTGTTTTCTGATGGTTCGATGGCAACGAACCAGATGGTGGAGTCCCCGTCCAAGCCCATATTGCGGTGCACATGCGCCGCGTCCATTATGTCGGTGGGCATGCTGCACTCCTTGGGCAACGGGATATACTTGAAGTCCACGGGCTCTTCACCATTGAGCATATCACTGATGCTGCAATACAGGATACCTTGCTTGAGATCCACCCAGAAAGCATAGTCCTTGGACGAAAAGACCACGTGCACATCCAAGCGGTCGGAAATGGTAGGCCGACGGCTCTTGGCCACCCACGGATCCATGTCGTTCTGCGGAAGCGGCAGTGCCGGAGGCTTCATGTTGTCAGGCAGAGGCGGCAGTGACCACAGGCAGAGCGCATCCGGCTCGTGATTCAGGAAGGCCAGAGTGTAGCGGCCGTCGTCTGGGCGGCGCACCGGGAGAGGGCACGGCTTGCCGATGGTTAGGCAATCCGTAGCCGGGTACGGGATCATGAAGAGAGACGTGGTGGCAGAGTCGTAGACGAGGTAGTACGCCCGGAAAGGTCTGGGATCGTGGTTGGCGATGAACACCAGGCTGATGACCATGACATCCCCTTGCATGGAGAAGACGCGGCAGCCCATGTGGAGATTCCTTCCCCAGATGTCCGCCGTCCTGTCGTCGATCTCCGCGCTGACGAGGTCGAACGCCTGGTCGGACACGCGGACACACATCCGGGGGTAGCGCTCCAGGTCGTCGTCGTCGCCGCCGCGGACCAAGTAGAGCGAGACGCCCTCCAAGACGAGCGCGCCAGTCGGCCCGCAGCCGACGGCACTCCTCTTGCACTCCACGACTTCCAAGCCAAGCGATCCTGGGTCTTCCAGGAGGTCGTAGTTTTTCACCATGTCCATGATTATCAAGAACGGCCGGGAACGCGCCGCCTTGGTCGCCATGGCTTGCAGATCGATACGATTTTGTCTGGTTGGTTTTCGTTTATTTATGGCGCCCTCTAGTTTTTCTTACTTTCGTCTCAGATAGTCCGGGTACAGAGCATCGTATACATGGGTATATGTAGGAGCTAACCGACCTAGAAAGCAGACCCGAGTTTGAATTGAACTCCAAAACATACCCGGACACGCACACAGCATACACAGGCAATGCCTACACGCGTACGTACGTATTCTGTTTTGCGTGCTGCTTCAACCAAAAAAACATGATAGTTCGTGTCGGTGAGTCGAGGGAGGGAAGGGAGGATCGGAGCTTTGATTTGGAAAACGTCTCATTGACCGGCCGTCCTTTATTTCTCCAAAAAAAAAAGATAAATAAAGAAGTGTTTCCTTGATGGGTGGACGTGCACGTTAATTTTGCTAAGAATAGAGATCGAGAGAGAAATAGACAGACAACAAATGAATCAAGGCATTCCTTTATTGATGATGATCTGTGCAATATATACCTCTTAAGGGAGCATGTCCACCAAACACAACGCGGCGGGAGGAAAGAGACATGATGGTTAATGATTACCAACTGCCTCCCTAATAAATCAAGGCTGGGATTTGAAGGCTGCTACCCAGTTAGTAGTGATGGTTTAAGTGGGGGTTTGGCCTTGTTTTGGTCAAAAGACGTTGATGTAACTCTCAATAATTTCTCAGACCAACACATCGATGTAATGTTTAAGAACACTGGGGGAGGCAATAAGGTGTGGCGGTTTACAGAGTTCTATGGTAAGGCTAGTCGAAGTGAACGCGCCGAGTGCTGGAATTTGTTTTGTTGGGTGAAATCTCGGAGCGATGCACCATGGTTATGCGGTGAAGATTTTAATGAAATAATACATAATTCTGAGTACTTCGGAGCTCATGATCGCCTGGACTGGCAAATGAATGGATTCCGTGAGTGCCTTGATGATTGTGAATATTACAAGACCTTGGTTTTCAAGGAGTCCCATTCACATGGGATACTATGCAACGGGGTGACTCGAGTGTGAAAGTTCGGCTGGATTGTTTCCTTGCGAACCCAGTGATGATGTGTTTATACTCGGGATCTTTCGTGAAGCATGTGCCTACACCTAAGTCTGATCATTGTATGCTTGCGGTGAAGATGAAGAGGGTAGCTATAGGCGAGGAGGGGCATATGCGATGTTTCATGTATGAAGAAGCTTGGCAACAGGAGGAGACATATGATGTGGCAGTGTTATAGGGATGGCGCTAGGGTGCAGGTATGCAAGGCATAGATGATGCCCTCTCAGCACTAGTAGAAAAACAGGGCATACGTCCGGACCAGATAAGCCCATTAGTACCAGTTCAATCATGAACCGGTACCCATGGGTCCATTGGTCCCGGTTCGTGAGGCCAGGGGGCCTGTCAGGCCTCGTGGGGCCATTGGTCCCGGTTCGTCTGGCCCCTTTGGTCCCGGTTGGCGGCACGAACCGAGACCAATGGGCCTCGCTCCTAGCCCACTGCCATTGGTCCCGGTTGGTGGCCTGAACCGGTTCGAAAGGATGGTCTTTAGGACCGGGTCAAGCCACAAACCGGGACCAATGAACCAGCCATGGGAGAGGGCTTTTGTGTGTAAAACATTAAAAGCAAAAGGAATTTTCATAAAATAAATAAAAAAAGCAAATAAAAAAAGAAAATAAATAAGTAGAAACAAAATAAATTAATTAAGCAGAAATAGAAAAAACTTTAATAACTAAGTAGTAACAAAATAAACTTTAATAATGTAGAATAAATAAACTATAATAAAATAAATAAAAATAGCAACAGTAAGTAGAAACAAAATAAAATAAATAAAGCAAAAAAGAAAGAATTGTCATAAAATACATAAAAGAAGCAAAAAAGAAAAGAAAATAAGTAAGTAGAAACAAAATAAAATTTAATAAATAAGTAAAAAAATAAACTTTTATAAAACCTGTAATATTATTGAAACTAAAATTATATAAAATTTATGCAACAAAAATTATCAAAGTATTTTCTGTTCAAAACAGTAAAAGAAAAAATAATTTTCATAAAGAAAATTTTTGTTAGAAACTTTAATAGCACTAAAGAAACTAGTGATTCACACAAATTTCAAAAAAATTTAAATTTAAACTATTCAAATTTGAAAAGAAATGGCACTAACAGAAAGCTTATAATTTTTATTACCTAAAAGCAAAAGGAACTAAAAATAAAGCAAAAAAACAAAAGAAAATAAATAATGCAAAAATCAGGAAAAAAACTGGGAAAAATAAAAAAATGCCACCTACTGGGCCACTACGGCCTGAATACGACTAGAAACCCTACCATGGGTCAGGATTCAGGCCCGCAGAAGGTCCAGTAGGCCCAGCAATGACAATTAGGCCCGTAAGCCTGTAATCGAGAGGGGTGCGGCAGTGGGACTTATAAACCACTGCGCGCCCCTCTCAACTAGCGAGGTGGGACTAAAGTTTTGGCCACGGGCAGCACGAGCTTTGGTCCCGGTTGGTGGCACCAACCGGGACTAAAGGGGCGAATTGGTCCTGGTTGGTGCTACGAACCGGTACTAGTGCCCCACTTTAGTCCCGGTTGGTGCCACCAACCGGGACCAAAGGCCTCTGCTTCCCGCCCTTTGGGCTGCTGAAAAGAGACCTTTGGTCCCGGTTGGTAACGCTAACCAGGACTAAAGTGGCACATTTGTCCCGGTTCTAGCCCATCAACCGGGACCAATGCTTCGTCTATATAAACATCGCTTGCGAAACTTTCATTTTAGTTCCTCATTCTCCCGCCGCGCCCGTCGCCGTCGTCCTCTGCCCCGTCGCCCGCGCCCGTCGCCTTCGTCGCCCCTGCCTCCGACGCTGCCCCGCACCGACCCGACCCCGTCGCCCGCGC